AAATAATATGATTTACATAGTCGATTATCTCAGTTTCAAATTAAAAGATGATTGGCCGAAACATCTCTCGAGTCTAGGATTTCCCACGAATGCTTTGATTAATACCGTAGTAAATACCATCAGAGGACAAACCTATGCAATCTTCGATGATCACGATGTGGCGCAGATAGACGAATGTAGCATGAGTATTCGTGCGTATCACACGTTACAATCAGTATTCCCAGGAATACCACCAGCTCCGACCTTGGCCTTCCGACACATCGACGGTAATATTTATTTCGCCAACAAACAACAATTTTACAAATTTAACGAGTTCACGAAAACTCTAACGGAAGCTGATCAATTTAACATAAACATACTCAATGTCAAATGTTCGAGAGACAAATTATTGCAGCAATTGCAAGATATCTTAAATAATTCGACTAATTCGATCGAAATATTGACAAAACGCAACGAGGAATAATGAGAAAGAGGGAGATGGAAGGACACGTACATATAATATACCCCAAGCAATATATACACGGTGCGATATCAAAAAACCAATAGTTTACGAGATATTTTATATTTCATTGTAGCACATATTGACATAAAATATTAAATAACTCATAATCTATTAATTTTTTGATAATCGTACCTTAATACTTTTATGAACAGAATAATAATATGAATCAATTGGTGGAAAAAAAATACATAGTTGCTTATTTAAAAAATTATCCATTTTGCATACATATTTTTTTAAAGCAACTATGTGTTTTCTTTCCACTAATTGATTCATCTCATTATTCTATTCATAAAAATATTAAGGTACGATTATCAAAAAATTAATAGTTTACGAATTATTTAATATTTTATATCATTATGTGCCACAATGAAATATAAAATATCTCGTAAACTATTGGTTTTTTGATATCGCTACCTTAATACTTTTATATGCAGAATAATTAGAGGAATCATATTATGTAAAAAAATTCATATAATTCCATTTAAAAAAATGATCATGACCTTCAAATAACCTTGAAAATCGACCTGAAGGTAAAAACTGTTAGCACAGTTAGATGTCCCCCGTTGTCCTCTACAATTTTTGTCTAAACCATTTTTTTGTATCTGGCGTATTTTTGGAGATATTTGGATCTATCACTTAAAATGACTCACCCTGTATATTCGATGACTACAATGACGACGTTCATAAGGATGAGGTGTTGCTTCTTCATGCCAACAAGAATATCATGAGAAGCGAGATCAAGTGTGCCTACTAAGTAGATTTTACCAAACCGAATAATATCGGTTCGATGTTGGGCTATTCGTCGTCTCGCGTGATACAATCGAACAAGTGGTATTCGTCTGACAAATCTGTAAATATCATGAACGTAAGTGTAATTCGTGTAGAATGCAACATTACTTCGGGTGCGTACAACAACGATAAATCAACACATACGATCCACGAATTCGCGACAAACGTTCCACCTGGATATAAATTGTCTGATACTTTAACAAACGTCATTTACCTCCCGGTCATCGTGCGAAACGTTACTGATATAACGATACGTATAGTTGCTCAGAACGGTTGATCAACTTTCGTGGGGAAGAGATATCGGTTCGACTTCACATACGACGTAGACGGTAAAAAAATTATACTCGCAAGCGGAAGATGCTCATCCTGAACGAATCGTACGACGGAAAAATCACATCGCAAACATCGACATTACTAGCATCGTTCAAACGATACGGCGGAAAAAAGCAAAGAAGAACGGTGATATTGAACGCTACGAACATTGCTTTTTTACGATCCCTAGGATTCGTCATAAGAAATGAGCCATGATATCCTGTATATCCTGAATATCGGAGGTAAGCCGATCTTTGACGATCGTATCGTTAAAATCGAGACTCACACCTACAATCCGTATGCTAATACTACATTCGGACACAGCGACGAAATACGAATACCTATACAACATCAGGATCTGTACACGTTACCGTGCGAAAGTTTTCTCTACGTCGAGGGAAAATTCTCGGTGAAGAAGAAGAAGGAGGATGGTTCCGACTCCCAATCAAGACTATCGAATAACTGCGTAGCGTTCATGTTCGATGAGATTCGATACGAATTGGACAGTGTTGAAATCGACAGAAATAGAAACGTCGGTATTACTAGCACAATCAATAATTACGTATCACTGATTGCTGATAAAGATAAAACGTTGGAAATCGTAGGATGGGTCAGTTCGTTTAATTGGAACA